TGTCTCTGTCAGTCAAATTTTTCCAGCTTTGTTTAGTTAGGTACCACTTCATATTGGCTCCTGTATGACTTTTCAACAACCCCCATTTTGAGCATTTCCATAATTCCTGGCACCATAAAATATTCCAGCCTCTGGAATTCCAGCCTCTTGACTACACAGGATATTTTCAAGCATTTTCTTTTTTGGATGGCAGAATATTTAGAACTGTATTATAGAATGAAAACTATTAGAAAAGATTACTCTAGTAAGCAATCTCAGAATCACTATCTTAGAAATATTCTGGAAAGAGCCATCAGATATGACAAAATAACCTATGGAAAACAGGTACTGAATAATTTTTATAAAGACTACCACAAGAATAAAGCATTATAGTGTCATCAAAAGAAGATATTGGGTGGTTCCTCAACTTAAAGTTTAATTTCAAATTTCTATTAAAGTTTTTTTATAAAATTTATCTCCTACAAAGGTAATAAGTGAATTTTCATGTTATCCCAAATAAGATGCAAAAACCACCAGAGGGCGCAGTAGAGATAGTCACAGATAAGCAGCTGGAAAAAACACCCAAATTCTGTACTGACCTTCTATATATGGACTAGCAGTTTAGTATTTATATTCTACAAAGTATAGTTTGACAGACTAAAGCAAAGAAAGAACACGACCAATATTATGAGAAACCTGAAAAAGTATTTTATGAAATATGAACACAAAGTCACAAATTTGTGCCGTCTTTTCTTAGAAATGAAAAACCTACATATACTTAAAAGGTCTAGATTTTAGCAATATATCATAATTTTCTAATGTAAGAGGCAAGGTGCATTTCTGGTGTTTCTAGATTATAATTTCCATGTAATTTTAAAATGAAGTTAATTGTCAAATAAAAAGCTAGACATCACCACCAACAAAATAATTATCAAGTTATAAAACGCTAATAAATTTTAAGCGAACTTTAATAACTAACATTCCAAAAATATATTATTAAATACATAGTTCTACAGGTTTTGACAAATGAATACACTTACATAAGCATCACTACAATCAAGATAAAAGCACATTTCCATCAGCCCCAAATGTTCCCGAGCCCTTCTGCAGTCAGTCACGTCCCCTACCACCAACTACAGGTAACCACTGTTCTGCTTTCTTTCTGTAACTGTGTCCAGAATTTCATATAAATGGGATCATATAGGTGTAATCTTCTACCTTCTTTTTCTCATCTAACTTTTCACATTAATTCAAGTTGTTTTTATTTTTTTTAATGTTTTATTTATTTCTGAGAGAGAGAGAACGCACGTGAGCTGTCAGAGAGGGAGACACAGAATCTGCAATAGGCTACAGGCTCTGAGCTGGCTGTCAGCAAAGAGCCCGATGCGGGGCTCGAACCCACGAACCATGAGATCATGACCTGAGCCGAAGTCGGACGCTTAACCGACTGAGCCACCCAGGTACCCTGATTCAAGCTGTTTCATATGTCAGTAGCTTGTTCCTTTTTATTGCAGACTAGTATAGCCCACTTTATAGATATACACAATTTTTTAATGCATTCATCTGTTACTAAACATACCTGTTGTTTCCTGTTTGGAATTATTAAAAATAAAGCTGCTAAGAATATTCATAAAGTCTTTTTGTAAACAAATGTTCTCCTGGACTTGCAGGGTCATAGGGTAAGCTATATGTTGAGCTTTCAGAAACTGCCAAAAGGTTTTCCAGAACGGTGCACCATTTTACATTCTCACCATCAATCAATGAGAACTCCAAGAACTCCACATCCTAGTCAACACATGGTATTGTCAGTCTTTTTAAGTTGAGCCATTCTAGTGGATGGTAGCAATATGTGATTAGAGTTTTAATCTGCACTTCTCAGAACTAATGATCTTGAGCATCTTTTTCAAGTGATTATTGTCAATTCATCTATCTTCATCTGAAAGGTAACTGTTGAAATATTTTACCTTGGGTTGTCTGGGGGTGCCTTGGTGGCTCAGTTGGTTAAGCGTCTGACTTCAGCTCAAGTCATGATCTCACAAGTCATGGGATCAAGTTCCGCATGGGGCTTCTCTGCTGTAAGCACAGAGCCCACTTCGGATCCTGTCTCCCTCTCTCTGCCTCTCCCCTATTCATGCTCTCTCAAAAATTAAAAACAAAAATGAAAATAAAACTGGGTTGTCTGAAAGAGTTGTGAAATTCTCTCTGTATACTGACTGACACAAGTCCTCTTGTCACATGTAAGTAATTCAAGTATTTTCTCCCAGTCTGTAAGCTACCTTTTCATAGGTATCTTTTAAAGAGCAAAAAAGTCCAATTTTGATGAAATCCATTCTTTATGATTCATGTTTTATGTGTACTAAATCTTTGAGTAAACTCAGCATGAAGATTTTCTCCTACATATTCTCCTCAAAGTTCCAGTTTTATAGCTTTTATGTTTAAATCTATAACCCATGTAATTTTTACATATGGAATACTGGTAGAGGCAAATTTCTATTTCATATAGAAATATAGTTACATTTTGTTAAAAAGGCTCCCTTAAAATGGTATCTTTGACACATTTGTAAAAAACCAACTACACATATCAACACTGTACAACTTAAATTTATACAATGTTATATATGTCAACTATATTTCAACTAAAAATTTAAAAAATCATATTATATATTGACCAGTGAAACTACAGTGTATTTGTTAAAAGGATAACGTTATATTATGAAGAATTTTATGCAAATAAAGTTCTACATCTTACATTAAATGGAAAAATTTAATCCAAAACAAATAACTCAAACTGACCCAAAAGAAGTAAAAAATCTTAATAGTATTTTATCTATTAATGAAATAGAATTCTTATTTAAAAATCTCCTCACAAACAGGGGCGCCTGGGTGGCTCAGTTGACTGAGCACCCAACTCTTGATTTCAGCTCAGGTAGTGCTCCCAGGGTAGATCAAGCCCTCCACTGGGCTCTGTGCTGAGCATACAATATATATTTGTATTTATATGGATCTATATACCCTCTACTGTTTCAAAGACTTGTCCATCTTATGCCAATACCAGTCTTACGTTTTATAGTAAATACTTAAATCAGGAAGCACTGTCCTCATACTTTGTCTTCTTTTTCAAAACTATTCTAGCTTTTCTAAGACCCGTATGTTTCCATGTGGAATTAATAATTAATTTGGTAACTTTTACAAAAAGCCTGAGAGTTTGATAGGGGTTGACTTGAATCTATAGACCAATCAGAGTAGAACTGATACCTCAACAGTATTAAGTCTTCCATTTTATGATGTGGTTATCTCCATTTATTTAGATCTTTTTAATAATTTCTCTTAGTAAGGCTTTATAGTTAAATGTACTAATCTTACATATATTTGGTTAAATGTGTAACATGAATATCTCATTTTTATTCTTTATATACGGTATTTTTATCAGTTTCACTGCTCAATTATTCATTGTAATTATGTAAAACTTCCAGTGATTTCTGCATTCTGTTCTTGTACAATATTGCTGAATTCACTTATTTCTAGTAACTCATGATTTACTATGCATACAATGACATCTAGAAATAAAGACAACATTGTACTACTTCCTTTCTAATCTGAATATATTTTATTTCTTTATCTGGACTTAATGTATTGACTAGGACTTCTATCTAGTAGTATACATGTATGTACGTACGTATGTACGTACATATGTATGTATGTATTCTGAAAGAGAGAGAGAGACAGAGTGAGGAGAAAGAGAATCCCAAGCAGGCTCCGAACTGTCAGTGCAGAGCCTGATGTGGGGCTCGAACCCACGAACCATGAGATCATGACCTGAGCCAAAGTCGAGTCAAATGCTTAACCAACTGAGCCACCCAGGTGCGCCAGGAACTTCTAGTACAATTTTAACAACACTGGTTCAGAGTGAAAAACTATGCTTTTTCCCCAATCTTAAGTGGGATGCATTCAGTCTTTCATCATTAAGTATGGTGTTAATTAAAGGGTTTGGTTTTTTTTTACAGGTGCTTTACCAGAGTTGAGTTAGTTCCCTTTTATTCCTAATTTGCTAAGCATATTTATCACTGAACTGTCAAAAGATTTTGCTACATCTATTGCTAAGATCATGTTTCCTTTATTCTGTCCACATGTTTTTAGTTAAAATCACAGTGAGGATAAATTCCACCTGGTCATGTTTTATTGTCCTTTTTACAATACTGCAGGATGTGATTTACAAATATTTGAAGATTTTTACATGTACATTCAGAAAGTTGGTCTAGGTTTCTATATTTTTGGTACTGCTAACAGTGTAATAAATGCTAGCTTTTATTTTCTGAAGGAATCTGGATGATGACTTGTTTCATTAAATGTTTGTTAGAATTTACCAGTAAAGCCATCTGGCTTAGGGTTTTCTTTGTGGGAAGATTTTTATTTTAGAGAGACAGCATGCTCAAGGAGAGGAGAGGGAGACAGAAAGAGAAAAGGGGTGGGAGGGGAAAGGGAGGGGGAGGGAGGGAGAGAGAGAGAGAGAGGGAGCGAGGGAGGGAGGGAGGGAGAGAGAGAATGAAGGAATCCTAAGCAGGCTCCATGCTCAGCACAGAGCACAATGGAAGGCTTGATCCACCTGGGAGCATAATCTGCGCTAAAATCAAGAGTTGGGTGCTCATTTGACTGAACCACCCAGGCACCCCGTTTATGTGAAGACTTTTAAATAAGAATTCAATTTCATTAATAGATATAATACTATCAAGATTTTTTACTTCTTTTGTGTCAGTTTTAGGCATTTGTTTTGGATTAAATTTTTCCATTTAATCTAAGGTGTAGAACTTTATTGGCATAAAATTCTTCATAATATTCCTTTGCTATCCTTTTAACATCTGTAGGCTCTGTAATGATTTCAGTTCTTTTGTTACTGATACTGGTAATTGGGTATTCTTCTAAAATGTTTCTTCCAAATGTGAATACTGTATGTTTCACAGACTTCCTCCTATCTCATAAAAAGACATGATCCAAAATGATCCACCACACCAGAACTCACTCAGGCAAATGAATGTTATCCAAAAATGTCCAAATAAGCTACACAGTTAAAATAATCTGAAAATTCTTTTTTAAAATTGTTTTCAGAGCTAACAGATTAAGAAAAATATTGTCATATAATATATATTGTTGGAATAAACCTTAGAGATGAAAACTCAAGATGAGGAAACAGACTCCGAGACTTATTTAAGTTGCCAAATGCTGTAAAGCTTAATGGCAAAACTGAGTGACAGCATTTCTTGAAATACTTTCTAATCTAATTTCTTTTCCTATGTTAGTTCCATTTGAATAGTTAGTACAGAAGATTAAGCTAAGAGATATTAAACACTGCTGTTCCTCAACCTGCATTTTCAGGCAAGTATGGACAAAAGAGAACAGTAAGAATGTTCTCACCTCAAAGAAATAAAAAAACCCCACAGATTTCTGAGATGTTCTCCAGCTTATACAATACTGGTTTTCCTACTGAAGGTGTGTGTCTTGCTGTTGTTTTTCTCCTTTTGGTTTATCTACACTGTGGTTCTAATAAAAATAGACAATTAGCTACTGAAAAAGCATGTATTTAAAAGATCCTAAAAACACATCTTCAAGTTTTCTCATTATTATTAATAACCAAGTCATACTTTTCTTTTTAAGTCTATTTTGAGAGAGAGAAAAGGTAAGAGTGGGGGAGGGACAAAGAGCGAGACGGGACAGAGGATTCAAAGCAGGTTCCAGGCTGTCAGCACAGAGCCCGATGTGGGGCTCAAACTCAGGAGCTCTGAGATCATGACTTGAGCCAAATCAGAAGCCTAACCGACTGATCCACCCAGGCGCCCCATATACTTTGTTTTTTTAACCTATGTGTACACTGTATAGGCCAGTAACATGCGTTACTGAAAAGACAAAGCTCTTAAAGATTTCCAATGTTTTGTGAGTCAAATCTAATCCCAACCCATTCATTACACATCATATTCTCCAGGTTTTCCTGGAAGGAGGTCAGGGACCAGAAGGAGAGAGAGAGAGAGAGAGAGAGAGAGGGAGGGAGGGAGGGAGGGAGAGGGAATATCTCAAGCAGGCTTCACACAGCACAGAGTCCGACACAGGGCTCGACTGCACAACCCTGGGATCATATTCATATGTTATGCTGCATTTAAACACTTAGTTGCACTTTTCTTTAAGCTTTGTATCACTCTCCAACTCTCCCCAAAATATGAAATTTTAAGAAAGAATGCATATTTAAGAGTCTTCTTTTACTTTTAGCACCAATTATTCAAGATTTTATGGTTGCTCCAGAGCTTAATGTGGTTTGTCATCAGTAATGTCATACTACAGTCTCTCCTTTTCTTGATTTGCCTTTTACCTAAAGAAATTCCCAGAAGGAAAAAAAGAAAAGAAATTCCAGCACACAATTTATATAATGGCTTTTCTTTTTTCTTGAAGACTCTTTACAGAGAATTCTGGCTTCTTGCTCTAATGTGTACCAACTTCTTTCTAGGCCCACAGGGATAGTTGTTATCCTGTGATTTTCATTGGTGTTTTAGAGATTTGGTTCCATGGACCTCATCTTCTTTCACTTCTATTTCATTTCTCTGAGTACATATTCAAGAACTTATGAAAGGTAAATTTCCCAAAAATCCTTAAATTTCTGAAAATTTTTCGTCTTTAATTTGATTTCACACCTGAATAATCATTCAGCTGGTATCAAATTCTAGATTTAGGAACTCAGAATCTTAAATAAATTGCTCCACTGCTTTCTATTATCTAAGAAATCCAATGCCAATAAACTCCTATTCTTTTTAGGCAATTTCTCCCCCTAGATCTAGCAGCTGTTAAGATTTTCTTTTTACTCCTGGAATTTTAAAATTCCAAAGAAGTTGAGACTAAAGTCGATCTTATTTCATCTAAACTTCTTGGTGATCAGAATGCTCTTTCAATCAGAAGATTTGATTTTTCAGGTGAGGGAAATTTTCTCCTATTTCACTGATTAGTTTTGCTTCTATTTTTATCTACTACATCTCTTGAAATTTCTTTTAGGCAGTTACTATTACTCTCTGTATTTGTGCCACAAAGCTTTCTTTTTTGGTATATTTTTCCTTATTCTTTGTTCTAACAATCTGAAGGAGATCCAAGAATTTATAATACTTCTGCTAACTGGATGGCTAGGTCTTTTCACCAGCTAAAGTAACGGACTTCTCTTTATCAACTACAAAATTATTCTAATTTGTAGTAGGCTCACAAACTACAACAGTGAGACTTCACTGTTAAGACTACAAATTTTTAAGTGCTGCGATACCAACACTGGATAGTCTAGCACCCTCACTTTTTTACTTTTTGCACCCTCACTTTTTAAGACTACTTCTAAAATCTAATTTTTAGTGTTTGAGAGAGAGAGAGACAGAGACAGAGAGAGACAGAGACAGAGAGTGTGCACAGAGGAGGGGCAGAGACAGAGGGAGACACAGAATCTGAAGCAGGCTCCAGGCTCCGAGTTGCCAGCACAGAGTCCAACGTGGGGCTCAAACTCACAAACCATGAGATCACAACCTGAGCCGGTCAGACACTTAACAGAGTGAGCTACCCAGACGCCCCAAGACTACTACTGCAAACCCAAAATATTAAGGACCATAAAACAATCCAGGGATCTGTAGAAGAGGGACATATATAAAAGCAAATCAAGGTAACAACTCAAAACCTAGATGTTCAAGTCAGACACTATACTTTAGAAGACTTCTAAATCTTTTTTTTTAATGTCTATTTATTTTGAGAGAAAAAAATGCACATGAGCAGGAGAAGGGCAATGAGAGAGGGAGAGAGATCCCAAGCAGACTCCACACTCAGCACAGAGCCAGAAAGGGGCTGGATCTCACAACCCTGGATCATGACCTGAGTTGAAAACAAGAGTCCGACACTTACCGCTTAACTGAGCCACCCAGGCACCCCTAGAAAATTTTTTATCCCTGTCTTGATTGCTCACCTCTAAGCCTTTACTGAAAGAAAGCAGAATACAACTAGTTCTCAGTGGACTAGATAAAATAGAGTTCAGGATCATTAAATAATTAAGTAAATGGTAAATCACAGCTGGTAGATTAAGAAACATGAACTATGAGACATGAATTTATGAATATTTTAATCAAAGTAACAAATACAATAGTCAATTTCAAAGTTAATCACAAAAAACTATTATTTAGTAATAAATAGCTTTGGGGCCCCTGAGCAGATCAGTTGGTTAAGTGTCAGACTTCAGCATGTCATGATCTCACATTTCCTGAGTCCGGCCCCACATTGGGCTCTGTGCTGACAGCTTGGAGTGTAAAACCTGTTTCAGATTCTTTGTCTCCTTCTCTCTCTGCCCATCCCCCACTCACACAGACTCTCTCTCTCTCTAAAAAATAAACATTAAAATTTTTTTAAAATAATAATGGCATTTTAGGAATAAAATGTTTTACTATTTTCACCTCTGCACATTCAAACTGAATTTACTATATATAAATATTAAAAAGGTTTCCTCCAAAGAATTCTGAGATGATGAATAAAGGTTTGATAGCCAACCAGAAACCACTCTTTAGAACACATTATTATTTAAAAACTGAATGAAATTATGTTAGTCCAAATAAGGAAAAAAGGAATGCAGAAAAAGGAAATTAACTTTAGATGAACTTTTTCTCTGATAAAGTTTTGTTTTCATAACAAAGAAAAACTAGACCTAAAGAATATGTACAGGTAAATTTCCCTGAGACCATCTGATTGAGAGCAAAAATTAACAGCACAAAGTCAGTATCTCTACACTTTCAGGTAACCTGTAAATAGTCAAATCAGAAACAAAATTGCTTGACTATGAGACTGTTTACTCAAAATGAGAGCAGAGTCCTATAGGCTAATGATGTCTTCTAGGTTTCTACAGACAGTTCTTTATGCAAAAGACATGCCTTCAGAATCTGCCAAGCTTCTCTTGGGTCACCTTCTAATGAAAGAAAATTTGTTTATTTTATTCAACTACATTCAGTCTACAAAATAAGCCCTATTTTTACCAATTTTATCAAAAACATTCAGAATTCTACTGGTTTCTCAGCAGTAAAAATTAGCTGAATCTGATTTTCCACTCATACCTCCAACTATTCCCCCATTTTAGTCCTCTGCTTAAACTATCTAAAGTAGTATCTTGCACTCAGTCACTTTTCCAAGATACCATGCCAAGTAACAACTAAGGTCCCAAATATGAACACATCACCCAAGAGAGTATACATTTCCTGGTCTACACAGGTTGGCCAACAGACAACAAAGTAACAATGGCCTAGAATAATGCAACTCAATAAGAAGTAAACACTGAATTGAGAGACACTCAAAAGAATACTTATCTACATATGAGACAATCCAGTTTTGCCTAACATCATTCACGTAAACAAAAACATAACATTAATCTTGTAATATTTACTATAAGGAAGAGTGTATAGCATTGTGATTTAAAATATAACTATGGTGTGCCTGCGTGTGCCTTGTTCCGTTAAGCGTCTGACTTTGGCCCAGGTCATAATTTTAAGGTTCAGGAATTCAAGCCCCACATCAAGGTCTCTGCTGTCAGCACACAGCCCACTTGGGATCCTCTGTTCCTCTCTCTTTGTCTGTCTCTTCCCCGCCCCCACTCATGTACTTGCACCCTGTCTCTCTAATATAAACAAACAAACAAACAAAAAAAGACTCTGGAGCATGACTACTTGAGATCAACTCATGGTTTTGTTACTTTTCCTACTGTTATGTGACCTTAAGTCTGTGATTGAAGGTCTCTTTGCCTCTGTTTTCTCATCTATATGACATGGAAAGTAAACGTCTTTCATGAGGCTATTGTTAAAGATTAAAAAGGTTAAGGGGCGCCTGGGTGGCTCAGTCGGTTAAGCGTCCGACTTCAGCTCAGGTCATGATCTCACGGTTCGTGAGTTCTAGCCCCATGTCGGGCTCTGTGCTGACAGCTCAGAGCCTGGAGCCTGCTTCAGATTCTGTGTCTCTCCTCTGCTACTCCCCCACTCACACTCTGTCTGTCTC